CCTCTAACCGAATGAAGAGCATTACGAGGGTAATATGCGCATTCGTCTATACACGCGGCGCAGCAGTGGCGGAGAATTTGAGTCGGAGAGCTCCTCGGACCATTCAATGTTCCATTTTTTATCACTGTAAACTGTCGAAACGTCTTTTTTTTCTTTATAAATTGTAAAAAGCCCTTTTTACTTCCCATAAAACTTTACTAGCTACCCCCCTTGCCCACCCTCGATAAACGATGCGTCAAGTGATCATGACTTAAATTCACATTCACAATGAACATTTGATATGGTTCTACGATTTGTTGGTATTACAGTCATTTGATTAGAAAGCATTTTTTTTATAGCTTCGCTCTGAACCACCTGAAGAAAATGAATCACCCGGTGCATTTGAGTCCGATATTATATTGACCCCGGAACAAGCAGATGCAATAGAAGAAGAAATTGCAAACCAGAATATTAGAGGAGGATAACAATGACAGCATGTGTAATGTAATGATTATTCATGCAAACAACTTATTAAACACGGTGGTTGGTGTCGGTTATGAATTGTAAATTCCAACACATGTCACGTGATGTATATGTAGGAATATAATATACATATAAATATTGTATTATTTCATCTTATATTCTGTTTTGCAGAATCATTATGAGGGGTAAATGGAGTCAACTCAAGACTTGAAGACAAGGTGGATGGGTACTTGATTTGAAATACATAGATTAGATTAGCCTGGCACAGTACAGTGTCTCCTCGCGTGCATGCAATAAACAACATTGTTGGTATTCGTGCATATTAATTGATGTGTTTGTATATGATGTATAATAACCACTCCATTGAATTGAATTGAATGTGCACACGTATAAGCAGACTCTGTCAATTGCCAAATAACAATCATGGCTTACTGGCATCACTCTAAAACAGCATTTCCAAGGTGTGACAATATATCAGTTGTATCTTGTACGCCATTGCTCATCAAACGCACACAGATATTTCTGTGTCCCTACGCAATCACCACCACAGAAGACGTCAGCTAGTGACGTAAGCTGAGTATGGAGAAGCATGTAGACATCTGTTTGCTTGTCTTTGCCAGAATGATTGTACATACAATGTGCATGATGTATAAATCACAACCACAAATTCATGTGGATATCACAAGGATTCATGTTTACATCATGTAGTTGAAGTAATGTATACATGAATGTAGGATCCATGTATAACTCATAGCTAAAGAACTTTTTTTAAATTTCTAAAACAATATGTTCATTTCTCAGCATGTATTATTATCTAGGTTCCCTTTCTGCTCCAGCAAACACAAGTACATGTATGCTATATCTACTTCTCTGTTACATGGTTTAACTTGTATGCCAAAGCGTTTTGAGCGTTAGGTCGGTTGTGATGACATAATTATAATATTTTATAATTTGCATTCCAGCTTTGCTTCAAAAATGTAGTTTAAACAATATTTTACCCATATGCAAAATGGGTTTGAGTAACTTACTAGATCTGATGTATACCTACATAATCATTTGAAAATAGTGACAATGCTACGAAATGAAGATTAATTCTAATTTTTAAAAAAATTCTTCTACATACTGGCAGCTACACATACCTTAAAACTAGTTTTTAATTTTCTACAAGGTTTTTCATGTGAATGTATATATATTTTGACAAAACGAGACAAGAACCAACATTTAAAAGTATTTTAAAAGGGAAATACCAACATAAAGTGAAATTTGTAACGTCTGTATTGATAAATTAACCTTGGAAACCATGCATAGATAGGCGTATATTTATAGGCATACATCTGGAGGTGGCCATCCCATAATGCTATACAGTCATCACTACAGTAACGTATCGAGTGATGCCATAGGTTATTCATAGGGAATGATATAGTACATTAAAACAAATTTTCTTGATTTGAATCAAAGTATAAAATGCATATATTCGATCACAAAATATTTCGTTGTGTAACCTGTCCGTTCCAATACTTGTGCAGCTTATGTGCTAAGATTCGAAATTTACATAATGTATTTTTGAGTTAAAGTTTGTCCATTACTAATAAATATCGGCTAAGACCGTATTCAACTTTAAAATCTATCTAGCTTAAACAATAGTTGTAAATTAGCTCCCCACTCCTGAATTGCATTACAAGTATCTCGACATATCTGTTTGATTATGATCATAGAGCTGTCATGGCGTCTCATCCCTTGTATTACCCAAGTTCATCAATACCAGATTAAAAAAAATAAAAAAACAGGAAAGAGGCGTTGGAAATTACAAATCATCCATCAACAACAAGATGACGTGACAATTTATGTGTAAATATAATATTAATTAATTATGTTGGGTTTTCGACATGTCTATTATCAACACCAGTCAGCGCTTAGAATAAGCTCCCTGATTCTTATAACTGAAAGCCTGCTCATTAATGCAAATATTCTTTCTCCAATAAATTATAATCATATATAATAAGGATATTGACCTTAAAAAGTTTGGGTCACCAGCTTAATTTACGAGAAAATGGTTGTTGTATTTTAGTTGATAGTGGGAGTATTATATCGCTTCTATCGTGGGTTTCTATGGAAAAGATATTATGTCATATCTCAAATTGTAGGCTGGTGACATAGGTTGAAAAAATTATATATTACTACTGATGTTGTCCTAAATTATTTAAAAAATCTGGGTTTTAAAAAGTGTCGAAAATGCTATTTTTTAGCACTGTGTTCCATGGAATAGCGATTTAAAAATAATATTTAGAACATATTTCTCAAAATACGTCACTGAAACACACAAATAATGCTATTTCATATGTCATGGAATAGCTTTTTGATTTTTACATTAACACTATCAAGTGATTTATGACCAACTTTGACAAAAAATTATGAGTAGGTTTCTACCTTAACATCAGAAAATCTTTTTGACACTAAACTTGTTTTTTTTATTTTTTAGCTAATGCTGTGTAGTATCCAGAACTAGATAACGAAATCCCAAGATAACAATACCACGTCTGACCTATGACCTTTTAAGCACCACTTTTAATCTGCCATTTAATATTAGCCTTTATTTAGTCGCTCACAGTTATAGTATAACCAGCAATTTCTGTGAATCTGTAGTCGTAAGGCTGGATAGAGCTAGATCGTCAGCGTACAGAAGAAATAAATGTTCAATATACGCAATATGGACACCTGTAAATGTTTCTAGTTCTGATTGTTTATTTCATTGATAAGTAAGGGGAAGAGTAATGAAGACAAAACAGTTAAGTGACAGGAGAACGAATACATATTGACATACATTGAACGTAAAACTGAAAACATTTCCTTGTTTTTCAACAAGTGGAAAGTAGATATCTGGCCATACCTGTAATCTATGTCAATATCACAAAAAATATTGTTCATAATTGAAAAGAGATCTATCATTGGCATAATCATTTGTAACTTTTCTATGTAATGGGACTATAAATAGCAAACTTTAACAGCCAAACGGTCCGTCGGAGGGTATTGCTAAGCACATTTCTAACAAAATGATGTGTTAAATCGGCTTAACAGTATGTGTTTCAACGTGTGTGGGTTTTGTTCTGGGCTGTATCGTCATCATAAACTCAAATGCTGTGCAAAACTTGCTATTCAATCACGGTATAATATTTGCTAGTTGGGCTGTATGTGTCGAGACATAATAATGAAAATTCAAAAAAATGACAAATGCGAGGTGCCAGCCTAATACAAAGACAAAGTAAAAATGTCTATGCAATTATGAATATTAGTTGTTTTTGCTTACTCGGTTGCCTTAACTACATCTGACTCAATGCAATAGGGAATCTCGCGTAAGAGTTAACCAATACGGGTTACGAACCAACGGGTTACAAACTACCCAAACTATAACGAGTAGAGAAACAACAAACACCCTAAGGCACTCACCAAAAACTCAGCTAGCGCTGATGAACGTTTACCGACTAAAACGAGTTTTCTAAACTAACATGTAAACAAATTTTGTTAAATATTTCCACCTCAAAGTTGATTTATATTTGACAACATTTCGGATGTCGAGTAATTATGAATGAATAGTTAACTTTCGATTGATTTGAAAACAGCTAAAGTCGAGAAATGGCACAAACTCATCTTAGAAAATAACCTGAGCAATCAAATTGTATATGTTGCACATGTAGGTGTAATCTTGTTACACTGTCCAACCCTAAGGGATTATCCCTGACAACACGGGGTATGTTTATGCCAGGTACTTTAAAAACTGTTCATGCCAACTATTTTTTTCTTTTGCAAAAGAACAATCGCAGTTTCAGTATCGTTGAGGTGCTTTTCCTTGTCCTTATCACATTCACACAATTTGATAATTTTATTTCTATATGATTAGAATCGTCTGAAAGGCCTAATACCAGGTTTGCCCATGTACTTCTGAAATCCACCCAATACAAATTTTTGTTTTCAAATGCTTTGGAAGTTGATTTATTAGTAGTAGTTTATTAGTATTAGTATTAGTGTTATTAGTCACACATGTCGTGACCAAGCTCGTTCAAACTTATCATGAGGATAATGTATGATGACTTACATATGCACGTCAGTTTGTATGACAATTTGATCAAATATGCCTAGTGGCCACTTGGACCTAATCCTAATTTGCTAAATTCTGATATTTGAACGTGCCCGGATATGTTTCTCAAAGACGGTCAGGTTATTTTTTGTAAAACTTTATATCATGATCATGCTTATTGGGTTACAGGTGCATATCATTTTTTTTGGAGATTCATGTTACATGATTCATTTCATCAAATTTGCTTATTGACAGCCATTTTGTCTAAAATTGTTAATTCACAGTCTGTAAACGTGTCTTTCATGACCATGCATATTGGGTTACTGGTGCACACCAATTTGTTTTTTGAGATTCGACCAAAAATGGCCGACTGAATGCGCATGTCTGGCTAAGAAGCGAACGTGTCCGTGAATATTACGAAACTTCGGTAGTGTAAAGAAGAATATCGATATAAATCATAACTAAAGCAGTGCGAAGTATTATTATATTGAATACGGTGAACCAATAAATGGGAAGGAAGCGAGGCAAGATGGCGGATACCAGTGTGGACGAAGACAATACGTATATGCCTAGTGAATCTGTATGCACCAAATGAAGACACACCAAACTTTTTTGACAATGTGACTTCGTACTTAGATGACTTTGCTATACCAACATGTATATTTTGTGGTGAGTGGAATGTGGTAAGAGATGATCATAGTTTAATTTCGGTTACTATTAACCAGAATGGGAAAAACGTCAAAAAATAATAGAGGAAACGGTAAATGATTATAAGGTGGATAACAGAAGTTCCATTTACGGAGAAGTTTTTCTAACCAGTTATTTTTCGAGGTTTTAAAACTAAATATTAGAGGCAAAACTATAATGTATTCCAGCCATAGGAAACGAGAAAATAATAAAAAACAATATTTATTAGAACAGGGAATTGTCCTTAAAATACAACAAATTGATAAATACATTCAACAAGATCAACTGATGGAACTGGAAAATATTCATTCCGAACTAGAACAAATGCGCAAAAGTGTTGAAGGGCGCTATGATAAGGTCGAATGTAAATGATTCTCTTTATGGTGAGAAATC